ACGTACCTGAAGTACGTAAATTTCAGGTGCGTTCATCCAGCCCTGCACCTTGTTGACAAGTATATTGATTTTGTGTCAGGAGCTATGGATTGGTATCTGGTTTTTCAAATGTCTATCTGGAGGAATCATGTTTGATTCAAGACTGGGTCTTAACTCAATGACTGGCCAGCTGTTGTGCAATGCAGGAATCAGTCACATGATGCTGAGTTATTATCAGTATATTCCATGGAAGAGTCTGGCAGTAATGGCACAAAGTAAGATTAGAAGCCACTGATCTAAATGTCTGACCAAAATGGGATAAGTAAAGGTAAAAACAAATGAGGACGGTCCCAGCAAGGTGAAAACTGGATGAGTGGCTTGATAGACAATAGTGTCAATGTTTGTACAAAGATTGAAAACTTGAAGACTAGGGTTACTGTCACATTGCAATTGTACCATTGATTACGTTTAACATTGTGGAGCTGAAGCATGAATGTATTTATTCAAAACTACAGGACAGATAGAAACAGAAGAGGAAGGATATCCAAGGATTTTTTGGAAGGAAGACGAGGTTGGAGACAGAGCAGAGAGATTTATATATCTATGAGGTGTTCTAAATTGTTTTATTTGTTGGAAGGAGTGACTAAAGTGATTTTGAAAATATCTGAGATGAGGGAACCATGTACAAGTTCAACTGGGGATCAGAAAAGGCAGATTGCTCATTGACCACTGCCCAACATGCCCTCCCCACCTCACCCTCTCCCTCTGACCCCACCAAGTAACAGGCAAGCCCAAGAAGAAAAGCAAATGGATGCCAGAACCAACTAAGCTGTCTATGCAAATTAAAATTCAAAATGTGGTTGTCACTGAATTGGGAGAGAATATTTCTCCCTAGAATTGTCCCACTGAGAAGTGGAAGGAGCTGGTGTAACCCATTAAGAAGCTCTCGTGTCCCAGAGTAAGAAGCCTCTGGGTTCCAGCCCCACTCCAGAGCTTGGCACAGGTGCAGACTAGCCTGTGTGTCTGTGCCAGATAAGTGGGAAAGATGTGCAGGATGGGTGAGGGAAGGTGGATGGGGTGATTGATAAATCATGATTAGCAATGTTCTATCAAACCTCACTAGTTTTATTTGAATGCCATAATATTACCTGATATTCTGCCTCGATTCAATCAATTTTTTATGTGAAAAGGGCAACATACATATCTTTTTTAAATGCTTGAATTTAATAAACAACATATATTCACTACATTGTCTTGTTTATGTTGGAACTGACTGGAATAGAAATTGAACTTGGTCTGTTAGAAGGAACTAGTCAATGTGATAATTATACATCCTTTCGTGTGCTGTGTTATCTTTTACTATCAACTGTTACACGAGTATTATACTGCCCCACATTCTTCAGTGACTACATTAGTAAAATACTATAACTGGTTAACAATATAACAGCAGATAAATAACATACTCGGTGAGATCTTTCCTATGTTTTATATCTATACAATATAATATCCACGTAAATACCAATGTAACCTAATCTGTTTCAGGTTTTAGTTGAAGATGAACCAAAGACTTGGTATAAATCAAGGTTTAAAGATGATTACAATGTACTGAAAGCAGGTAAATGACATTTCATTCTACTGTAGTCCACCTGATTACTATTGCACATGTGGGCATTGACCAAAGATAGAATTACGGTTCAATATCATATCTCCTAAAATTGAATATCCTCATCTTTGAGTTGGAAATTTATTCTCAATATTAATATTGCAGACATACCTTCCATTCTTTCTTTAAATTTTCCTCCCTCCTCTCCCAGCCCCAATCCCCACCCTGTATTTTCTTCTGCTCGGCCATGATATATAGATTGCAGAACACCTTTTGTGCAAATGTCAACCATGGCTGGAATTTGAACTCTGATCTCTTAACAGAGAGGCTCAGTACTCTCTCATTATAGCTACCAAACCAGCTTGTTCCATTCACATTTGATGGGGCATCATTTATCACTGACAATGAAGAACAATCACTTTTATTATGATGGTTATAATAGGTCAGAGGTCTGTTCTTTTTATCATTATAGACTTTATGTAAATAATTTTATAGGGATTTCTATCTGTGGCTACTTTAAATTGATCATTGCTTTGACTGAATGCTAGATAATCATTTGCAAAACATAGTCTTTACTTTGTTGCTGCATAAATAAGGTGTCTGAGTTATCTTCTTTCATCTCAGATGTCTTCTATTACACTTCAAACATAAAAGCATGCATAGCCAAGAACTAGGCATGGCAGAGGGAAACATTTTTACTAAGTTGTTTGCAAGTTGCTATTGCAGTAATTGTCCATTTCAGATGGGAATTATTGGTTCAGCAATAAGAGAATAATTTTCATGCAGTGCCTGTTCAGAAAGATGTCATTGTTTAAAAATGTGAATACCAGGCAGCATTAGAGACACACCAGGGGTTATGCGTCTATTCCTCTCAGCATTTCAGCCTTGGTGTCTAGAACTGATGTTGATTGACAATGTCATAGTCAGAGCCTGCCTGACAAAAGAATGAACTACATCATTTCCCAGTTCACCAACTCTTTTTCTCAGCTTTACCATGTGGTTGGAGGCAAGAAATATTCAATCAAAAACACACATTGTTTACATTAAGCAGAGAACTGCTAACAGTTCCCTGATTTTCATTATTTTCAAAGGAACTTTGGAATTACCTAAAGTATTCTGTTTCACTGCAGCCTAGTCTTGCTTCTGTTTAACTTTTCTTTTGATGAACTTAATGCACAGGGTCTGGCAGATATAAACTGTCAGTATGTAGCATGTTCATATATTGGAGAGATCTAGAGCACATTGTCTGCTTTAAGCAGTGAACTTATGAGCACCACATAGGGTTTATTTCACATTTATGCTACCCACTAATTTACTGTGCGTAGATATATTGGGTGAAATATTCCCATTTTTGGTTATTTTGATGAGAGTTTCATAGTGCCTGGTCTGCAATAGTTTGGAGTGGCTTTCACCACACAATCTTCCACTCTTCACCTTATTAGTTATGCACGCAGGACCTTGGATGTGATTCTCATGCAATCATGCATCCAGAGAGGTGGGAGTGCTTTCCATCAGTATTCAGGCAGACTAGCACCAAATTTAAAGGCCAGCCAAACACCACTTTAGAAGCTACCAGCCAGGAATATCACCTCTTGAATATCCAAGGCATGGCACAAAGGAAAGCTTGTTGCCTGTTTCAGTGACTGTCTGGCAAAACCCTGAGAGGAACCATGGAATATTACACCTGAAAATACCAAGGGAAATTCAAACAGTAACCATTCCTTCAAACAGAGAGATACAATTAAAAACAAAAACAGACTGCAATCTCATGTGGCTACAGAGATAACAAGGGGCTGACCACTCCTCACAGCAGCAAGCCATCTCCTGTGGTTTATGTCCCAAACTGCTGACATGTTTCTGTTTTATGCTTCTAGGAATTTTAAAATAATGAGTTTAACAACCAACTGCAAATCCTGGCTTGTTTTGTTAGTGGTTTGACAAGACAATGAAGTCACCATTGTAAAGGAAACAAGACAAAAGCCCTGCAGCTAAGTTTCAGAGCCAAGAATCATGAAATCAACTGTTTCACTACAATTGTCAGCATTTTCGTGATCATTCAGCTTAACAGCTCAACTTACCTCGATCCACACTTAACAGAACCCAGGGATAGATTAGTATAGAGCAGAGCTGGACTATCTCTGATATAGATTAGTATATCTTCTTTAGCTGTTCTCATTTTACTCAATTCACACTTCTAATCTGTCTGTATGTTTATCTCATTTAGAATCGAATAAGGGCCCTCATCTGGAGACCAGTTGTAAGACTTGGCAAGACAGCCCAGACTGGCTATGGCCCAACCCTGCTGGGGTTGATGTCTCCATAGATACTGATTGATCTATCTGTAATCCACAGACTGAGTACACTTGACCTGCAAGACTGAACATGGCCAATTCCCTGGACTGCAAAGTCATTTAGGCTGGATAGCCCGGGAATTTTTCACTGGAGGGTAGGAAGTTGTGAGGTGACCTCACAGAGGTTATAAAATCATAAGGGGCATAGATAAAGTGAATAGCAAAGGTCTTTTCCCTACAATGGGGGAATTCAAAACTAGGGGCATATTTTTTAGGTGAGAGGAAAAACATTTAAAAAGGACCGGAGGAGCAACGTTTTTACACGTAGATGGTTAGTCTGTGGAATGAACTGCCAGAGAAAGTGATGGATGCAGGTACAGTTACAATGTTTAAAAGACATTTAGATAAGGACATGAATAGGAAAGACTTGGAGGATTATGGACCAAACTCAGACAGGTGGGACTAGTTTAGTTTGGGAACATGGTCGGTGTGGACTAGTTGGACCGAAGGGTCTGTTTCCATGCAGCACGTCTCTGATTCTGTTTCAGAGTCTCCAGTAGGAACAAGTATCTGACTGTCCATTATCAAGCCGCTAGGCTAGAATAAGACAAGCTCCTTGTCAGACTGTGGCAATACCCCACAATTGACTGTATCTTCACTCCACTAAGGTTTGCTCCCCTTTGACTTTCACACAGAGATATTTTTTTGAAGCCCATGCAGCGTGCTTGCCATATAAAATGTTGGCATATGCTGCAGGCGTGGCATTGATGCAGCACAGTATGATACAGCGTTATGTGCACTGACTTGGCTGTTCAGAGCTCCCCACTGTCACAAGCTGCCTGATGTGGAAGTGCTGGATGGCAGAGAAAGTACGCCATATTCTTCATAGCCCTTAACATGTCATCGATGAAAACGAACGTCTCACCAAGGTCATCCCTACACCTCCACTTCAAACTACCTCCAAATCTTAAACAGATCATCGTTCTCAGCAAACTACCAGCCTTCAGGAGAATATCGACCATAACCCCACACAACCCTGCCATGGCAAACTCTGCAAGCCATGTCAGACAGTCGACATGGATATCACATCACACATGGGTACACCACACACAGTACACAGTAGGTACTCATGTGACTTGGCCATCTCATATGCAGCAGGCAAGGATGTCCCGTGGCATGGTATATTGGCGAGACCATGCAGACTGTATAACAACAGATGAATGGACACCGTGCAACAATTGCCAGACAGGGATGTTCCCTCCCAGTGGGGGATCCCTTCAGCGGTCAAGGACATTCAGCCTCTGATCTTTGGGTAAGCGTCCTCCAAGGCAGCCTTTGAGATACACAAAAACACATAACTGCTGAGCAAAGCTGATTGCCAAGGTCCGTACCCATAAAGACAGCCTAAACCGAGATCCTGGGTTCATGTCACACGACATGTAAACCACCATACTAGTTTGTATTTGAAAAATCTTCCTTTCTGTCCTACTTTGACACATTCACCTGGATAACTTGTGTGGTCTCCCTACCTTCATTAGTTTGTACAGTTTTGGATTACTTATCACTTTGGTTAGACAATCAACATGCAACTCTTATATCTATCATGTTACTCAAGCCATTTGGTTTGTCTCCTGCACCATCTTATTTTTGTAATATAATTATCTCTCTGTCACAATTAATCGGAACATAGGTCATGCCTTCACTTGCTATTCAGCTGTTGACATCGGCACCTCCACATCATGGCTACTATCAACACCACAAACTGCTGGTTCAAAGTAGAGAGAGGATCTCCAAAAAGACCGTGCATATCGACACAGACGTCAAGTTTCAATAAAGATGCAAGAAAGCAGAGAAGGTCCCGAAAGTACTACAGATCACTAACCCACTCAAGTCGACCTACAACACAGGCTACAATGAGAGACTCTGCCATCACACCTCTCACACACTCCTCAATCACTTCTTACACCAGCTCTACAGCAGACTCCGCAACCTTGAAATTGAGATAGAGGCCATATTCTTAGCTTGCACTCAGGATACAGTGGACCAACTACAAGACTCTGCCAGGGAGACAAGGCAATGGAACTAGGCCACCTACATGCACACCAAGAACAGGAAACTTGATAAACTCCATATCTCCACCAGCAGTAACTGAGCCTCCTCTAGTACCATAATTGCAACCAGTATTACCACAGGGAAATCCATCGTCAACTTGTCTGACCACACCCTTCAACCAGACGCAATCGAAGTTCTCAGCCGAGGGCTCAATTTCTGTCTCACTACCAAAATGGGCCCCAATAGTCTTGCAGCAGAAACAGAGGAATTCATCAGGTGAATGAGGCTCCGAGAATTCTTTCACAAACCCCAAAACAGCCCAGTGAGCCCAATGAGACAACCAACGAATCAGAACACTCGACGGAGAGATCTGCAATGCAGCAATCAAAGAAGGAAAAATCGAATTGGACCCCTCCAGAAGGCCACTGCCCTAGGTCCAATGTATAATTGATCCCTAATTGTCCTTGAACAGAGTGGCATGCTAGTTAAGGGCAGTTAAGAGTTAACCACATTAGTATGGGTCTAGTGCCACATGTAGAAAAGATTGGGCAAGGATGGTAGATTTCCTTTTCTAAAAAACATTAGTGACCCAGGTGGGCTTTTAGGACAATCAATGATGATCTCATGGTCAGTATTGAAGAGATTAGCTTTCATATCTGGGTTTTATTAATTGAGTTCAAATTCTGTCAGTTGCTATGGTAAGTTATCAACCCATGTCCCCAGAGCACTAGCCTGGGCCTCTGGATTACTAGTCCAGAGATGTTACCACTGTACCACCTTCTCCCGCTTCATGCTGCACAAAGAAAGTAATATTCAAAAAGCTCCCAATTACAGAATAATTATATTCGCTATCATACAGAAGTGAAGTGATCATGTCTGCAGTTTACTTGGAAACATTCAAAAATATAGCAATCCAATGCAGTTCATTTTTAAATTATCAGAGTTCATTTCATCGAAAATTACAGTTTTTATATTCAACATTTTGAGTTGTATGTAGAAGTGTTTGGAGATTTTGCAATTGAATGAAATTATTAATTATGTTTTGCCCCCTTATTGTAGATAAATATGGGGCATCTCCTATTGTTGATGCCAGGAAGAAGATGTGGGAGCCCAATTCAACAAAACAGCCCCCTTCCAGTTCCATCTCAGGCTTTCCATCAAGATCTCAACTAACTGGACCACTGCCCTATAATTCAACAACAAGGAATAACCACACAATTAAACAGACACTTTCGTCAGAACCACTCAACAGTTCTAATGGTGAAAAGCAAAACTGCAACCCTCAGCCACAAGATCTACTTTCCAACAATCCTGACAGTGAAAGTGCTCAAGGTTACTCCATCCCTTTATCAGGCAGCCTTCATGACACCTGGGGCTGGAGTTTGCAAAATTATGCAGCCCCTCCAAGTGACTATCAGCCTACAAAATCTACAGATGCACCCTGCAATCCTTTGCCAACAAAAGAACTTCATTCACTTTGTTCTACTGAGGCTACTGCTGAAGAGTAAGTTATAATACATAGAATAAGATCAGTACAGCACACGAACGGGCCCTTCGGCCCACAATGTTGTGCCGAAGATGACCAAATGAAACCAATCCCTTCTGCCTGCTCTTGGTCCATATCCCTCCATACCATGCATATTCATGTGCTTATCTAAAAGTCCCTTGAACACCCTTATCACGTCAGCCTCCACCACCAGTCTGGCAGTGCAGTCCAGACTCCTACAACTCTCTGTGTAAAAAACCACGTCTCCTTTGAACTTGCTCGCTTTCACCTTAAATGCATGCCCCCCGAGTATCATGACGACTGTTCTCAATAACGAGGCCGCACAAGGTCACCAGGTCACTAATACACACAGATCAGAGTTGAAACTTGCTTTTGGTCCTTCTGCCTGTGAATTCTTAAAAGGGGAAATTGCCAATATATCACTTGCCCAGACTGCTTGTTTTTACCATATTGTTCACAATGTGAAACGCTCATAATGGATTACTGTTCAGTTCGTAGTGTATTTCTCCCTTCAAACCTTCTTTGACACCTGCAGGTGCGATATTCCAGAGTTCGTCTCCAGACTGCCATGAGATGTAGATGCATAGTCAGTTTGGCCATATCAGATCAACTTTAAAAAGACATGTTGGAAATTAAAACCTCGAAATGTCTATAGGAGCTCCTAAATTATGGTTTAGGTCACCAAGCCATTTCATCATAAATTGTTATTGCACTCTTGTGCTTCTGTCCTTTGGCCTATTTACTCCACATGGACACCTCATACCCTTCATCAAAATCAGCTCAATCCATTGTACCTTTTACCTTCTACCTTAATCCTTCCTTTCCAACACTTGCTCCATTTTGTCCTCCTTAACGTAGAAGTTTTTGAAATGTCTCCTTCCATTTTAGTGCTACAACAGCAATCTTAGTTTGTTTTTCTTTGCATCCTCGACACGTTGAAATGTCCCAAGATTCTTAGCAGAAAAAATTATAAAACAAAACATGACACCAAGCCATATATTGGAATAAAAGGTCAGATTATCTGAAGTTTAGGTGAAGAACCAGGCTTTAGAGAATGTCTTAAATTAGGCTATTGAGGAAGCGAGGCGGAGAAGTACAGAGAAGTTCTTCCAGAGCTTGTGGCCTTGTAAATGGGATGGATAAGGCTAGGGAGGAACTTGAAAATGAGGATGGGAGTCAAATTAGGTCAATGTGCACAGGGATAATAGAGGAAAAGGATTTGCTGAGTGTTTACTCACGGTGAGCAAAGTTTTGTATTTCTGCGAGCTTATGGAGATTAGAATAAAGGACACTGGCCAGGGATGCATTGGAATAGTTGGGTCTACAAGTAACAGAAATATGAACGATAATTTCAGCAGAAGATAAGATGAAACAGGGACAAAATCATTTATGCAAGGACTTCAGGACTCTGGAACAATCTTGAGATAATTTAATGGAGCTGGCCATTATTGAGCATAAATAACACTGGCTAGAACACTCTAGAAGATGACTACTACCGTACTAGAGTAGAATGTTAGAGTTTTAAGAGCATGTGGACATAACCATATGAAAAAGTTAAATTAGTAACTAATGTAACTATGAGATTAGAGCCTGTACATGTTTTTAACGAGCAAGTATAATAAATAGTGTTACGTTAAAGTCTAAGCTTAGAAGATTGTTCTTGATTTGCCATTCCATCAAATGTCTGTGTCAAATTTAAACTCATGGGAGACTTCAAACCACATGACTCAAGAAACTCGAGTGATGTTATGGAGGTGGGAGTAGTTGGTCTTAGTGGATGGCATAAATATGAAGTTAGATAGATGCTCATTTCAGGATCAAATGTAACACCAAGGTACAAATCAGGCAAATATCATTTTTATTTGTTCTCAGCAATAGAGGAAGGAATTTGGAGTGGAATATTTCCATTACAATCATATCTGTTAATTTGAGTACTTATGTAGAATGAGCAGCCATGATATATCTTGCAATAATTTGCTATCTATAGCAACCAATGTCCAAATTATTCGTAAGAAAATACTGGGATCAATTTTAATACTTTGCAACTATTATTTATCAATTTATAATTTTGAGATGGCTTTATGACATTTTTTGCTGATAAATTGTATGAGGAGAAACTGTATGAGAACCATTGTTGTCCATCTTATGCAAATAATGTCATCATCAAGAGCCCAAAGGCCAACAAAAGTATTGTGTCAACGTAAAGTTACCAACTTCCTACGTTATCCATGCTTCTGTATTGTCTGATATGGAAGTGCCGCTGCTGGATTGGGATGGACAAGATCAGAAATCAAATGACACCAGGTTATAGTCCAACAGGTTTATTTGAAATCACAAGCTTTTGATCACCTGCAGAGACTTATTACTCAACACTCCACTCACACCATTTGTATGATCTTTTGATCTGTCTGCCCTTGATTTCTCTGCCTATAAATTCTATGTCTGTGTGTTCTTCTCTCACTTCACCTATGAAGGGGCAATGCTCCGAAAGCTTGTGATTTCAAATAAACCTGTTGGACTATAACCTGTCTGATTTCTTACCTTCTGTATTGTCTGAAACACTTTGCCAATTTAACAAAGTGTGAGTACTTTTATACTGAAGAACCGAGCTCACTAGTTGGAGTTTTAGCTGATTTAATTCATTTCATTCAAGCCCTATGCAACCAGAGGTACTTTAATCCACCATGACATATGTCCATGTTCTTACATTTTTAATTGAAAACTTTGACAGTAAGGATAACAAGATACTGGAATCATCCCTAATTGATTCCACATATTGCACCAGAAAACTGTCAGGAAAGCATTCTACAAATTCATCTTCCAAAACATCTTCACCAATTTTATTGGTTCAGTCTTCATGAATATTGAAAGTCAACAAAAGTATTACATGGATTTTATCAGAGGGATAATATCTTAAAACACACCTGCTCTACTAGTTAAAACATTTGAATACTCATCAACTACAGGAGTCTAAAAAGCAGAACCTCCTTCCAATTCCTTCCCTAACTCCCACACACTCAACCATATTGAATTATCTCCTGTTCCAAAGACAACCCTCCTGACATTCCGCTTTTGGGAAAGACCTAGGCTCCATTTAACTTCTCCCTGCTTTTCCCTGTAGTATAACCAAGAATAGCAACTTTGTCAAAGTCACATTATTGATGCAGACTCATAGTTTGTATGACTGCTAAACTGTACACTAACACATATCATTATTGTAGTGTACTGACAATACCAATGCAAAACATGCTTTAAAGCTGAACATGCAATCTTGAAAGTCTGTTGTTAATATTTCTTCTTTTTTCATCAGATGCAAGTGGTTATATCCAAATGGCAAAGTTGATACCTGTGGCTATCAAGTTGAACCTAAAAGTGTATTTTATTATAAGCCTGGAAAGTCATCTGTTTTAGATCATGACCATTCAGTAAGTGCTTGCAGTATAAATGCTTGTCTGTTGGGAAGAAGCAAATCATATGGATAGCATATATACTTGCGAAGAGTTCTGGTAGAGGTTTGGATGGTTAATATTAAAATTAATGGATATCTGGAAACAATTGCAAGGCTGTAATCTAGTCAAAGTATTCAGCTAGCTTGACCAGAGATTTATAGACACCTAGAATGAGTAAGAACTATAAGACAGCAAAATATTTTTGATTGGAAATCCTATTTATTGCCTATATATGTTAATGCATTGAGAATGTTAATCGCGTAATGAGGTTCAGTTTGCACCTGGACTTTTAGTGAAGGAGATAGCACAAATGTTACTATATCCTTGTGAAGAGGAATGAAACTGGTGGAGAGAAAATCAGTGAGAAAAAAAATCAGTGAGAAAAAGCAAAAAACAAACTATCTTCTACTACTATTATTTGATTACCAAAGGAAGACTTAGATTCTTCAGATGTTACAATGGGAGTTCAATGTTACTTCAACAAAATAAATACGTACAGAGAGTAGTGATCTCAAACTGGGATTACCATATCAATATTGTGCTCTACCAGTCACTTTTAAAGGTGCCTACCATTGGGTATCAAAGCAATGTGTGTGTGAAGTAATGCACCACTCTCAAAGATCAAGTAACTTACACCTGTCCAAATTAGTCAGAACACATGCCAAACATACTCTCTCAGAAGTCACATGACACCAGGTTATAATCCGACAGGTTTATCTGAAATCACAAGCTTTTGGAGTGTAGACCCTTTGTCAGCTGAAGTGAGAGAGAAACACATGGAACACAGAATTCATGGGCAGAGAAATCAAGGGCAGAGAGATTAAAAAATCATACAAATGGTGTGAGTGGAGCATTATTTATTACTTTGGTTACACCTTTGCATGCTTGTACCTATCATGTTATTCCAGTCATTTGGTTTGTCTCCAGCACAACCTTATTTTTAATTTTTAGTAATAATCTCTCTGCCTCATGTAATCAGATTATAGGTCATCCCTTCGCATGTTATTCAGTTGTTGACACTTTACTCACACTGTCTAACACTTTGGATCACCTGCAGGGAATTATTATTCGACACTCCACTCACACCATTTGTATGGTCTTTTGATCTCTCTGCCCTTGATCTCTCTGTGTTCTGTGTGCTTCTCTCTCACTTCACCTGATGAAGGGGCTAGGTTTCGAAAGCTTGTGATTTCAAATGAACCTGTTGGACTATAACCTGGTGTTGTATGACTTCTGACTTTGTTGACCCTGGTCCAAGACCAACACGTCCACATCAAACACACTCTGATCAGTCTACTTGATGATTGAGTTGGAGTGTAAGTTTTCATTTATTGTTACGATGGAGAAAAGAGCAGGTATACATTTTTTTGAAACTCACAAAAATAATCTGAGACTATCACAACTGGCTTGAGATCACAGCAATTTTCTATAACGTCTTCTTATCCCTACACTAGCTAGTTGGTGTTGTCTGATTATTCAACCAGTGAGCATTCAATCTAAGCGTGGCATGATCCCTTACCTGCAAATATATCCATGGATACACACAGCCCAAAGATCAGCTGAAATGAGTGACTTTCCACTGAGCGAGAGAAAAACAAAACTGCAGGATGAGGCAAACCCTTTCTTCTTGGAATGACAGGAATCCTGCTCATTAACAGCACTAAATTATGAGTACAAAGTTTTCACACAAGCCTATGCTGGCTCTTTCAGGAATTGAACCTACTCCAAAATCCTCCAACATAATTTTGAGTGTGTTCAAACGTTTTTAGTCTCAGAAAACAAAAATAAGTGCTGTTAAAGTTGCAATCTTAGCATAAAGGATATTTAAAAGCTATGCATTGTGACCCTTTGTCCTTGAACACAGCAGTGTGCTGGTATTGTCTTTAAGCCTGTATTTATTATGATTTCAGAGACCAATACACATCAATGTTTCAGGAGCTGCATTTCTCAGTAAATCTAGGTATGTACTTGCTCATTCATTTATAAACAGGTGACTTAAACATTCAGTTTTGTAGTGCTATACAAATTTGTAGTCAGGGTATGTTTGAGGTGTAATCTTTGGTAATTGTAATCCTGTTGCAAGTTCAGCTTCCGGATAAAGGGTTTGTGATGTTGGTGGGAGTTGAATTCAAAGCCCTACATCTTGAATCACAGGATTGCATAAGGAGGCCATTTGGCCCATTGAGTCTGTACTGGCTCCCTGATCATTTTATCTTATTGCCAGACTCCTGCTTTTTCCCCTGAACCTGCAGTGTTTCTATTTAAATAATCATCTAATGCTCTGTTGAATGCCTCAATTGAACCTGTCTCCACCACACTTCGACACAGCACATTCCAGATCCTACTTGCCGTGTGAGAAAGGTTTTAGCTCCTCGCATCTGATTCTTTCACAGATCATTTTAAAACTGTGATTCTCGGTCTAATGGTGAGGGCAAACAGTTTCTCTCCATCTACTCTGTCCAGAACCTCATGATTTTGTAAACTTATATCAAACTTTTTAATTAAATTGAGGCTTGAACTCTGGGGGAATTTCTGTGCTTGGAGTTGGGGCTGGGGCCTCCATGCTCAGGTGGAGGTACAGGTGCGGAGCTGGGGTCCAGGAACCACAGAGGGGCCTGCTATTTCTGTAATAAAGGTAAAGTACTGCAGATACTGGAAATTTGAAACAAACACAGAGAATGCTGGACAAACACAACAGGTCTGGCAGCATCTTTGAAAAGAGAAACAGAGTTAACATTTTGAGTCCAATGACTTTTCTTCAGAACTGAGTTCGGGGTCACTGGAGAGAAACAGGGTAACATTTCGGGTCCAGTGACCCCGAACTCAGTTCTGAAGAAGAGTCATTGGACTCGAAATGTTACCTCTGTTTCTCTTTCCACAGATGCTGCCAGACCTGCTGATTTTCATAAAAACCAAAAGAACTGCGGATGCTACAAATCAGGAACAAAAACAAAGTTGCTGGAAAAGCTCAGCAGATCTGGCAGCATCTGTGAAGGGAAAAAACAGAGTTAGTGTTTCGGGTCCGGTGACCCTTCCTCAGTTCAGTTCAGTTCTGAGGAAGTGTCACTGGACCCGAAACGTTAACTCTGTTTTTGCTGCTGATTTTCATCATTATTTCTGTAGCTACCCTTGGGTCTGACCAAATCATTTTACAGATTGACCCTGAGTACCTCTAACTCATAATCAACTATTTTGATTGTGCAATTCAGCATTCTCTTCAGTTGTTTTGCTGATAGCTGCATTGCTATTTAACACTGAGTCTATACAGTTTCCTCAGTTTCTTTCCATATAATGTTTAGGTATTCACAATACCATTCACAGAGTATACGTGTTGCTTTTCAAAAGTCAGTTCTTTTTACTTTGCATTCAAGTTAATTCGCTTTCTACCCAAACACTTATTTTGACCAGCTCACACGATATTTCTAAAGGTGGTCCCTCTAACTTAGTTTCCTCTCCCAATTTTGTAAAATCAGAAAACTTTGACATATTTTCATTCTATTTCTGAGCTTAGATCATTGATACTAGGGTACCATACTCAGTAGTTTCTCCTAACCCGCTCCTGAACTACCTCCCATAAATTATTACTTTCCACCTTCTCAACTAGTTCTACATGTTCCTCCATGCTTTTCTTAAATCCTTAGAAGTTTGGAGATTGACAGGTAGACCCCAATATTTTGGCAGAGGCAGGGAACAAACTTGAGATCATCTTGTACATTGAAATTTACTGGGAAGGAAGGTTAGCTTGCTGGCTTTGTATTTGTGCTAAATTACAAGGCAAGACAGAAGTACTATGAATCTAGTAGCTATGGCTGAGGAAGCAAATTGCAAAAAGAAAAGGCAGGACAGCGATGCTGTGAGCATTCAGGTAGGTTCATAGGGAACGAGCACTAAGGGAGCAGCTTAGTCCAATCCATGAACTGGGAGTCGGTCCCTGTCCACAAAGTGTCCTTGCAGCAGCATTGCAATGTTAGTTACTGGTGCATCCTGTGGTGCAGCATGACAATGTAGCAGAGAGATTGAAATTGATTGGAAATGGGCTTCAATGATGCAGGGAGGCTCACAGGGTGCACGCAGCTGCTGCCCATGGAGCATGCTCTTGGATGATGGTACTGGGTGCTCAAGGTGGAGGACTGAAGTTGGAAGCAACGAGTTAGAGTCAACAGGTATCTGCTCAGACGTTCATGCTGAGAATTCTAAGCATCTAGTTTCCTCATGGTGGGCAGAAGGATCAAACATTGCATATCATTGAGGCGTGATCTGCAGTTTGTGAGGCTGACAACAAGCAATAATCCTCTCTAATCGGCATTTTGTCACGCTATATTGAGAACCTAGTCTTACATCAATATGTCTAGAAAATGCAACTAGGTTTTCTTGACATTAAGAAAAGCCTCGGTGGATTTCTTGCCAAGGCACATGCCGTTCAGAACCTCATAAAATTCCATCCTGAGTCTAATTTAGAACTTGTGATTAAATACTTGGATGTGCTTTGTTTGTGCCCTGGATTTCAATGTGGTTGATATCAAAGTCCTTAATATTTATCATGTTTAACTTGGTTTGATGCAGAAATTTTGCCTGCACGTGGAAAGAAGTAATTATTTAGAATATTGATTAACACATGTACATCTTAGTTGTGTTTCAGTTTGTATTTATTATGGTTCTCACCTCTTCTTCATTGCCATTTTAGTCTCCATTATTACGCTTTCAACCTGAAAATTTTAAGAGTTCAATTAGAAATCAAAAGCTGGGGCCTAGAGATATAAATGTCAATTGAGCTATACTCCAGCCAGCCTCCAACCTTCTTTAATAGGCAACTGTTCAGTGCTGAGACTGAACTGTTCACTGGCACGGCCTCATTTTACACCTGTGCTGCTCCTTGAGCTTTTTGGGTTGGAAACAAAAATATTGCTTATTCCTAGCTGTTGTACAAACAGTAAATGATGGCTTATAACTTCTGAACTGGGATTAAAATTATTTTATTATCCATAGGTCATAGACCAAATATTTAGTTTTCAATACTGACAGTTTACATTTGAAAACATATTTGCTTATTTTGCTAAAATGGAATGATACTTTTGTGTTAATGTCACTAGATCACTCCCAATGTTGGCAGAATCAGCTGGTCAGCTGACCTTCAATGAATCCAGGCAATGCAATGGTTCAGACATAGATCTACCTCAACTGAAGTCCATGGAAATCCAATGTTATTCATCTGCTGATCAAATCTCCATAGACAATGAAAATGGTAAAACAACATTATTCCAATATGAAGGATAAAGTAAGGATAAAAGCAAATAGCCAGATTCATGCTCAGTCAAAGTGATAGTGTGTTTCAGTTTGTGCGGGTGGTTACACATGTGTTTGTGTCTGAAGTTACAGATTGATGTGTCTGTTGCTGTCAGAGATTGTATTAATATTAACTTTCCAAAACTTTGTTTTCCAATAGTACTACAGCCTTTGCACTCTGCCGCCAACTCAAAAAGCACTTATAAGTACATAGTAACCTAAGATATTAGGGCAAGTGTAGACTTACAGTCCTTGAAGCCTGTCCTTACACTATATCATCCATCCTGGTGGTAGCCATTAACCAAAACCATAACTGGGTCAACCATGTAACTGTTGAGGTTACAGGAGTGGGGAAGACTGGGAGCTGTGTTGAGAAACTCAACTCCAGACTCCCCAAAGACTGGCCATCATCTACAAAAGAGTGTGTTGCAATACTGAATGAGTTTGTCTCCAACAATATTCAAAAGAGTTTGATAAAATGTGGGTTATAGCGCCCACTTGATTGACACTGTATCCATCACCTTAATCATTCACTCTTCCACAACTGACACACAGTGGCAGTAGTGTGTATCGTGTACAAGATGCAATGCAACAACTCTTCAATGCATTTTCAACAACAAATTCCAAACTTACAAATTCTACCACTTAGAAACGTGCATGGGAACACCACCAACTGCAAGTTCCCCTAAATGGCACACACCATTATGATTTTATTGTTTTTATTCATTAACAAGATGTGGGAGCGTCTGGCTGGGCCAGCATTCTTTTTACCCATTCCTAGTTGCCCCTGAGAAGGTGGTGGTGAGCTGCCTCTTGAACAGCTGCAGTCCATCTGTTGCAGGTAGACCCACATTGTATTTAGGGAGGGAGTTCCAGGATTGTGGCCGAGACACAACAGAGGAATGGTGATATGTTTCCACCTCAGGATGGTGATTCACTTGAAGGCAAACTTGCAGGTACCCTTGTCCTTCAAAATGGAAGTGGTTGTGGGTTTGGAAGGTGCTATCTAAGGACACTTATTGAATTTCAGCAGTGCAGTTTATAGATGGTACGCACTGCTCCTACTGGCATCGGTGGTCAAGGATTTGTGGATGTGTGCCAATGAACTGCATTGCTTTCTCCTGAATGGTGTCGAGCATCTTAACCGCAGATGGAGTTGCACTCATCCAGGGAGGTGGAAAATATTTTTATCACACTCCTGATTGTGCTTTTTTAATGGGGGACTTGTTTTGGGGAGTCGGGGTGAGTCACTTGTTGTAGGATTCCCAGCTTCTGACCTGCCCTTGAAGTCATTGCATTTACATAGCAATCCAGTTTTGTTTCTGGTCAATGATAATATCTAGGAATGTTGACAGCAGGGGATACAATGATGATTTTGTTATTGAACGTCAAGGGATGATGATTAGATTCTCCCTTGATGGATATGGTCATTGCCGGATGTTTGTGTGGTGTGCATATTTGTTGCCAGTTTTCAGCCCAAGCCTGGATATTGACCAGATTTTTCTGCATTTGGATATGAACTGCTTCAGTATCTGAGGGGTTGTGAATGGTGCTGAACATTATGTAATCATCAGTGAATATTCCACTTCTGACCTTATGATGGAGGGAAGGTCATTGATGAAACAGCTGAAGATGATTGGGCCAATGTTACTAACCTGAGAAACGCCTGTAGGGATGTTCTAGAATTGAAGTGGCTGATCCCCAAAAACCACAACCATTTTCTTTGTGCCAGGTATGACTCCAATCAGCAGAGAGTTTATTCCCTGATTCTCATTGACTCCAGTTTTGTTCTGGTTCTTTGGTGCCATACTCAGTCAAATTCAACTTTGAGGTAAAGGGCTGTCACTCTCACCTCACCTTTGCAATTCATTGCTTTTCTCCCTGTTTGAGCCAAGGCTGAAATGCGTTCAGGTGCTGAATGGCCCTGGCAGAACCCAAACTGAGCATCAGTGTGCAGTTTAATGTTAATTAAGTGCTACTTGACAGGACTGTTGATGACAGGTTCCATCACTTTACTAATAATTCAGACCAGGCTGATTGTACAGTAATTGACTTGGTTAGATTTGTCCTGCTTTTCATGTATGGAACATACCTGGGAAATTTTCCACATTGTCAGGTAGATTGTTGTGTTAGCACTGAACTGGAACAGCTTGGCTGGGGACTGGTAAGTACCGGAACACAGTCTTCAGTATTATTGCCAGAATGTTGTCAGGGCCCATGGCTTTTGTTGTTTCCAGTGTCTCCAATTGTTTCTTGATATCATGTCAGGTGAATTGAATTGGTTGAAGACTGGCACCTGTGATGCTGGGGATCACTGGAGGAGGCCGAGATGGATCATCTTCTCAGAATCTCTGACTGAAGAGGTTTGTCAATCTGATGTGCTGGGTGGCCCCACAGTTGAGGATGGATACATTTTTGGAGCCTCCTCATTGAGTGGGGTGTCCACCATCATTCATGACTGGACATGGCAGGACTGCAGAGCTTAAATCTGATCCGTTGGTTGTGGGATCACTGAGTATTTCACAAAGCATAAATTTACAACTTGCTACTTATACTGGACATGCTGTGACATCTTCAGGGCAGGCGGGATTTGAACCCAGATCTGCTGACTCAGTTGCAGTGACACTAACTTTATTACACAAGAACCCCTAGTCCCTTTCTCTAGGTATACTTTTAATCAGCCTGTTGAATCATTTCAAGGCCTATACTTGGGACAGGTAGGACATTCAGCCCAGAGCTATGGATGTTACACGGTGCCACATTACACTCATAGATATTTTCTAATCAATATGTTTAGAAATGTTATTTTGCACCTCTGGTTATGGATAGGACTTGAACCCAGGCCTCCTGGCTCAGAGGTAGGCACATTCCCACTGCACAACAAGGACTCTTTCCAGGTACTTCCTCTAAATCAAAACCACAGATTACAAATAGCTGAGGCTTCTGCACTGATCCTTGCAGCAACCCATACAGCATAGCTCATAGAGACAAGCCTTGCCAACCCAGAAACTGCCCTGTTTGTCCTTACACCTTTCAGTCCATTAACCAACTCTTTCCATATGCTGACATATTGCTCCCAAGCCCCATGAACCCTCACCTTCTGTAATAAACTTTTAGCTCACACCTAAAATGTTGAATGCTTTTGGAAGTCCAAACATCCTGAATCCACTGTTTTCTCTTTAACTACAAGTTACACCTTCAAAAAAAGCAATAAATTTGTCAAGCACAGTTTCTCCCTTTCCTAAAATCACAATAGCTGTGCATAATCATGTTAAGATTTTCTAATTGCCCTGATGCCATTTCTTTGATAATGGGTCCTGCATTTTTCTGAAGACTGAAATTGGGCTGTGGGGTTTAAAGATCCCCATTTTCTCTATCCATCATTTTGTGAACGTGAGTATAAAATTTGCTGCGTTTTACTCCTTGGGGTCAATCAATAATCTAAAGCATTTTGGAGGATGTCACAACCAAGTGCCATTCTTTCTGCAGTCAGCTTTTTTAAAACCCGAGAATGTAGCTCTCAAGGATCTCTTGGCTTTTACTGCCATTAATCTTTCCAATACTTTTCTTTTTACTGATTTTAATTGCATTAAATTCCTCACTCTTTCAACCTCATTATCTCTGGTTTGTTTCCTGTGTGAGAAGAGACAGAAAGTATTTGTTTTAACATCTCTTTTCATACCCCGTTATCATCTTATATCACCTTTAATCTCTTTGCTTAGCCATAAATGGATCACTATTCTGCTGGAATTTTTATTTCTCAATGTTTGAGATAATAAATTTCCAGAAAATCTAACCAATGTTTGATACTTATTAACTGCTTGAAGTCAAAATAATACAGAACCAAGGCTGTTAGCTAATTATAGAATGAATATTGAGTAAATCCTAGCACTGTAAAATCAAAGATTCAGGAACCTGGACAGATCTAGGGCCTCCTTGTAAAATCCCCCACGTGATTCACTCTATCTTTCACAAAATTGAGATACTGTATGGCTTACAGAGACAGAACAAGAAGACAAGTGTTGATCAGATGAGGAAGAAACCAGAGAAGACATGAAAGTGTGGAAGAAGGAAAATTGCCTTTACCTCTTTATTCACCTGCTGTTCATTGCATCTTTTCATCTTCAAGCCCATTAGCGGTTGATCTAGAAAGTGGGAACTCATTCTTTATGCATGTTCAGTAACCGGGAAGCTACTTTTAGATAGGTTATTTCCAGAAAAGCAATGACACTTACAGTATATGTCCCTCTAATATATTTAAAAGATGTTCTATTACGAAAAAAATGCAGTCTGGCAACCTACCCTGATTTGAATCTCTATTTTATCCTTTAGCAAGTCAAACTAGTTCAATTAGTTTGCAAGATGACTTTTAAAGCCAATAACAGATTTCTCATTGGTGTCACGCACACTCACTCTCTTATTTTCTTCAATAAATATCATGAGGACAATATGATGGTGTACACAGAGGGTATTCTTTGAATTATTCAGTTAGTGTAGATCTTTGAAGGTGGCAGATCATATTGAGAGGGCATTTAGCAAAGCATATCCTGAGATCTTGGGCTTTATAAATAGAAATATTGACCTAGATTTTGTCAGGGAGACAGCCTCTCCTTTGTGGTGAAGATAGCAGAAGTTGCTGAAAAGTGTAAGTTGCCCCGCCAACCATGGCTCTTCCCATTTTTTGCCGAGCCAAGAATGGTACTGGGTCAGGATTAATGTATGTACGGTTCACAAAGGCAGCTGGCATTAAAACAATCAGCTGAATTCACTGAAGTGGAATTCTGATAACCTTAGACTGTGAACCTGAAGTTAAGAGATTAGAAACAAAAACAGAAATTGCTGGAGAAACTCAGCAGATCTGGTAGCACCTGTGGAGAGAAAGCACAGTCAATGTTTCAAGACCATTTACTCATCTTCAGAACTGATAGTAGCTAGGAAAAGGTGGTATTTCTGCTGAAG